CCAGGAAGCACAGACAGAGAGAGAACACACACACACACACACACACACACACACACACACACACACACACACACACACGGAATGTGTACACAGGAGAGATAAGGAAATGCCCACATGACTGGCTTCATTTTTTTTTAATTAACTTATTCTTATTTCATATGCACTCATTTTCCTGCATGGATGTCTGTGTGAAGGTGTTAGATCACCTGAAACTGGAGCTACAGGCAGTTATGAGCTGCCATGTGGGTGCTGGCACATGGGGGCTGGGAATTGAACCTGGGTCCTCTGGAAGAGCAGCCAGAGCTCTTAACGGCTGAGCCGCCTCTGGCTGCATTCTTACAGAGGGCGGATCCACAGGTGTGCCTACCCATGCCTCAGGTTTCCTGAGCATCTACCTTGTGCCCACAAAAGCACAGTGAACCATCAAGACCTGGCCTTGGAATGGTCACACTCCATGAAGAACTCACAAGCGTGCAATGAGGTCAGGAGGCCTCCCTGGAGGAGCAGTGAGCCTGGTCAGAAGTGACCTCAGGGAAGAGAGGCTTGAGAAAACCAGCCAGTTAAGTCCTGGAGAGGTGACCCCAGACATAGGGAAGATCCAGGGCAAAGGTCACCAGGGATAGCACAGCGTTCAGTTATCCCTGCAGAAAGGCAGGGCCACCTAGTGCTGTGTCCTCTTTGCAGGGCCCAGCTCCTTCATCCTGTGTCTTCCTTGGAGTTTGCTTTTTGTTCTAAGAATGGGCAAAGTCACTGGTGACAGGGGTGTGTCTCTGAAGAACCCTTTGGCTGCTTTTGGGGAGGCACCAGTTGGGTGGGAAGGGAGCATGGAGGTAGATTAGCAGGTTGTCGAACTTACCTACAGGAGGAGTCAGAGGCAGTGGGCAGCCTAGCATCAGATACGTGGGTGAGAGGGGCAGAGAAGGCAGATCTGGCATTTGATGGTGAACTATGCTGGTGGGGAAATCAAGTCTAAAAGTGACAGCAGGTGGGCAGGGGGATCAGAGAAGGTAAAGCAGGGTGGTGCAGGGGTGTTGGCTGTCAGGCCGGGCAGTGGGAAAGGCACAAAGCACCATAAGACAGACCTTCCTGCTCCAGCATTCACATGGCTGGGCCACCCTGCCCAGGGCTGGTGTTCCCACATCTGTTGAGTGAACACATGTATACCCTTCTCTGCTGGCTCATGAAACGACTCGAGGTCTAGTGGTGAGTGCTGGCCCAGTGTTGATAGTGGCTCACACAACTTGTGTGAGAATACTCTAATCCCAGCAGCTGTAGGCCTTTTCCTGCTGACAGCAGGCATAGCCATACTGTAGGCTATCGGCAGTGAACAGCTGAAGTTCCAAAGACCCAATGAGTGACCTCCTGGGTGAATGTGTGCTGTTGACATGGGTAGAGCCATGGCTGGGACCCCAGAGCCGCAAAACCATGGAGAATGGATTGCCTTCCCCCTGGGGTGAGGCTGGGGAGCATGCTCACCTTCCTGTCATCCAAGTATAGATGTTGACAGTGTGAGCAGAAAATGTCCACCCGAGCCCTCCCCACCCCAGCCCTCCACATTTGCAACCTGAAGGTTTCCCCCCTACAGAGCCTGCCCCTACCAATGCTAGCTAAACCCACTTCCTTGATCCAGCTGTGTACCACAAATCCTGAGCCTTCTCACAACCCAGCCACCATGCAGTGGTGACCACACAGATATCACTTGGGTCTTTGTCCCCTTCACACAAGTGCCCATCGGCTCCTTGTTCCCAGGAACTAAGTATCTTGGGATCCTGGAGAGATGATGGTGTAAGCCACCCTCTCAGGATGGGGAAGTAATGCCAGCTACACAAGGATTTCTGTGAAGTTTGTTTGCCTGCCAGTGCCTGGCATGTGGTCAGTGTCCAGGGAATAATGCTGTTAGCCAGACAAGAGAAGGGATACATACAGGGGTGTCTGGTCACACAAGTCCTGACATCATACAATCAAGGATCCAGCTCCATGTGACCTAAGAGACCAGTCCAGTTACAGTTCCACTTAGTCCAAAGGAACACACACACACACACACACACACACACACACACACACACACACACAGAGCACCCCGGTGATTTCTCTTCATCCCTGATGTG